ATCCAAATTCCCGCAATGCCATAACTTACCCACATGGCTTGTGGCCGAGCAACACAGTCCCCTACATCATAGACAGAAGCATCGGTGAGTATTGCCAGAGCGATTACAACCCACCTCTAGTAATCGATGCAATACAAAAAGTTTGTGGTAATTACTGGATTTAAGGGTCTAAAAACACCATAATTACTGGTGTATCCATGGGGAAGGTTTGGTGGAAGGGCGGGGATCAGACTTGTCGTTTTTCTACTCCTTATGTGACTCCAAAATTCTTGCAACGACAGGATTGCAAGTTGCTAATTGATAGTTGCTAATACTTACATCTTACCTCGTTTCTGAGTCATTTTGTATGTTTGTTTACAATTTATAAATGTAGGACAACAAGGTGTGAAAGCTATCAACGATGCCATCAAAGATTATCATAGCCAGACATGCCTGAAGTTTGTCTCCAGGACCACTCAGAGAAATTACATCAGATTTACTGTTGGTGGCGGGTAAGCAGGAAATTTCTTTCTATAGTAAAAGAAGCGCATACGCTTGTGTAATAGCACCATATGTATTACGTTTAAAAGTAGATCTAAATACTTCTTATTAAATAATCACATACGAGAATAACTTCAAATATACTAGATTGGACAGCTCTAAAGGGAAATATCATGGTATTTGGGTTTTGTTACCAGGGTTATGGCACGCGTTAAATATCAAGCACAACTCGCGCAGTATAAATTGCTAGGCACCGATCTGTGCGCCATTATTATATCTGCGTTGTTAAAATTTGTACTTCACAAAAACTATTAGACCATTAAATCTCTGATAAACTAGTTTTAAGAAGGTTACAATATTTTATTACATAAATTTATTGCATAGGTTGTGCACAAAACTTTAAAATGACTATACATTTATAGCCAATACCAATCCCTATACATAATAAAATGTCAGTATGATCAAAGGAAAAAATTATGTGCCATACATCTGCAAGAGTTCATGTAATTATTTTAATTACGTGAATATTAACTGATACTAGGAATCTAAGAATATTCAAAAGAAAATAACATTTGGTTTAAAAATTGGAATTCAGCATAGGCTGGATAATCAAGATTCCCAGAAAAAGAAATGTGTACTAATGAAAAAGTGAAGCAAACTTTCCTACAACACCTGCCTGTACCTGTACAGCGGGTAGTAAAGTCATTCAAAGTAGTCATAATATAATTATATTCTTGCTTTGTGCATTATGTGGACGCCAATTAATTTAACTTTCATGGGTTAAAATAAAAACAACCTTCTCTTCATCTATGTGCCCTAAACATTATGGGGAAAGAGGTAGGTCAAAGTAAAAACATGAATTAAAACAGGAGGGTCCCCATTAATTTCAGTCCAAATTAAAGGAGGATTCTTGCCTTTCCAGTTTAATTTAATTCATAACATCACAATTTATCAACATCATTAATTTATTCATAACATCACACTCTCATCAAAGTTTTTGTTACATTTGAAAGCATAAGAATATTTTAATTAATCATTAAAATATAATGAAATCCCCAATTTTAACCCTAAAAAGTCCCGCTAGAGATCTAGACAGAATTTCTCCTCACACTATCAATATGATATCAACTAGACAGGTAATAAGAATAAAGAATGGAGGAAAACATTTCAACCAACATGGCATCTTGTCACGTGATTGCAAACCAAAAATAAACCTACAAATGTCTTCTTCATTTTTGGAGTTAAAAAGTTAAGGCAATTTGTCGGATAGATACAATCGTAACCTGTAAAATTGTACACACCTGGCAATCCTCTAAAATCGCCTAGATGGGATCTTGGTTCAGATTGCACTGTAGAGGTCTTACGTAGGCGATTGGTTGTCACAATCCCGCACAGTCGCGTTAAAAGTGTACCGTGTATCCTGAATTTGGAGGAGGAATAATACTTAACTCAAAAGGGCCCTGACCTCGGTGAAGTATTTCAAACCCTCCACCAGCAATTAACCTAAGGTAGCTTTCTTCTTGCTTCGTCATGACATCTGTTGCGTTGGTCTTGCTGTTGAAGCAAATTTTTTTGCGGCCTTGACCAGCCTGTTGCAACTGGATTTTAAATGATCTGCCACGGACTGCCAACTGCTTTTTATCTGCTAGACAAAAAAATTCGTGGGTCCATGCATCTCGTTTGGAGAACAATACTGTTGTGTTCCGTTTCCTTCTTTTAGTAGCCGGAGCTGACGACACCGACTGCTGTCTGCTGCTGCTTGAGAAACTGGTTTACCTTGCGCGAGCCGTGTACGGCTGAAATAAATTTCGAAAATTTTCCGGTACTCGTCCATCGGTTTCCCGTCTGTTCACTGCACTGACTACTGCACCGTACCTTGGAGAACCATTCTCGGGATGTGTGTTCCCTAATAAGACGGGTCGCCTTTTCTAAAAATAATTATAAATTCACCACTCTTTCACGAAGAGCCACCATGTTTCTGACCAAGGCAGGGGGACAGAGAGGATATATGAACATAATTATAATTTTGGCGGGAAATAATTTATCTTGTCCAAAACTCGTTTCTGAGTGCCATGCCGAACTGCATGTTACCTTGACAAAACACCATAATGAAACGCACGCTATGAAAATGGCAAATCATAACAGCAAAACTGCTTTTCCCAATGTCGAAATTGAAGAATATTAAAATGCAATGGCAAAATAGCAAAGTATAATAGCCGAACGCCAAGGTAGAGTGACAAATCAGCACATTGCAAAAGCTCCTCCTCTTTTTCCTGGGATCCTTTGTGGTTCGCTTCTCTTTGTTGATGACCCTCGACTTGCTTTACACCTCTTATTTCTTGCTTTCTTTTGTCGCTCTCTCTCTTTCTTTCCGGCCTATTTTCACTCAAAACCCTTTCTCCACGCACTTGAATTATAACAATTTCCTCCGGCTGACAAAGCTCCAGCTCTGCCGGTATCTGCTTTTCGAGTTAATTCAAAATTGCAAAATACTGAGAATTACTGTTCAACTACAACGTCACCAGTTCGGTTTCCACTCAAAACGCGTTTTGTAAATTAATTGTTTACGCGGCTTCACATTTACCAGCTCACGTGAAGCCCTCGTCTAATGCCTAACCGTGTGCCCGCGGTAGGCTGCACTCAAGCTCAGTACTCAAGTATGCACACTTCATTGTGACCTGCCAGTGTCTCCTGGCACAAATGGGGTATCCAAGTTACGCGCCTAATTGCGCCTGCGCGTTACCTTCTACTTTGCCCTTCCATTACGTAATAGCTAGGAACGCGCCTGCAATGCACTTGGCCTTGCATTCTAAAAGTAGCACCTTGTATGGTCGGTCGAACGGTGGTAAGTTCAAATTTATTCGGCTACATGGGTTACTACTATTTCATATAGTTATGGACTATGCTGCGCGCGTTGCGAACTCCGCTATTATCTGCCAATCGCCTGTAAGTGGTTGCAGCTTGACTGGCACCTGAAGCAGAATCCTGTTGCAAAGTATTAAGCTTCATCCTTTCTTGCGTATTTTTCGTATTCTTGCGCTCAACTACGCCTATACTAGTTGTCCACCTTTCTCCTCCGAATCAAAACACCACATAAGGAAGTACAAGGTTCACAAATTTATCATCTCTTTTGACTGATAGGTGCTCGTCATCTGTAGGTCGCACAGCACGTGGGGAGCAGAAGATAAACCTTCATCGAAACTGCTGGTTCAAGGGCGTTGTCATCCACGAAATAGCGCACGCAATTGGCTTCTTTCACGAGCAATCTCGATCAGACAGAAACAGTTACGTCAAGATCCTGTACGAGAACATTGAAATAGGTGAGAAGAGGGCTTTGTGATACTATGAAAAAAGCTATCGCCTTAGAATCACCACTGAAAATAAATTATAGAAGCTCCAATAAGACATTTTACTGAGCCAATCTATGGTCGGTAAGTTAGTTGAGAAGGAGGTTCTGGAATCTCCCTTTTCCCTGTATTCCAACTGGTTTTTCTTCCGATTACCGGGCCTTTGTAGCCACTTTACATCCCTTCTTTCAGGTCACACATATGCGTTGGCGCTCGTAAACTTATAACTTTTTTTTTTGTTTTGTTTTTTGTTTGTTTGTTTGTTTGTTTTTGCTTTTTTTCCATTTTTGCGTTTATGCCTCGATCTTTTAACATAATATTTTTCGTAAACACCTGTCAGAGTCCATACACCTAAAAAAAAAAAACTTTACACACAATTCTATTCCATCAGGCAAAGAAAACAACTTCGACAAATTCGATCAAGGCCAGATCCAGCATTTGGGAGAACCTTACGACTATAGCAGCATAATGCATTATGGGCCGGATAGCTTTACCCGTAATGGACGACCAACCATCATGGGATTGAGGAGTGGGTCAAACCAAATGGGTCAGCGGAAAGGATTTAGTGCTAATGACGTTCGGCAGATCAATAAGTTGTACAAGTGTCCTGCAAGTGAGTTTTGATGTTAAATACCGTAAAAGGTTCAAACACCAAGACAATTACACTCTACCTTCCACATGCATTACATGAAGTGTATATCCCGTGTGAGTGTCGTAAAACTCAAACCAAAGTAATCACGACGGCCACTCAGAAGAAAGGAAAACACCAATGAGAATTTAAAGCAAAAACAACCAAATTGGCTAAAGCGCGGGAAAACGCGGACAACCAACTCGTGAGAGTAGTCGTGATTGGTTTTAGTTTTGCATCTGATTGGTTAGAAAAGTGGCACGAGTTTTCTAGACCAATCACAGATCGAAATAAAGAAAACTACGGCAATTTCGGATTTCTTTTTACAGTCAATTGAAAATAATTCTATGAGGACAATTAAATCTGAAATAGGTATCAATTCTCGCACGCGTCTTTCTCCATTACGTGGGATAAACTAAATAAATAAGGCAAAGCTGAACTTGATCAATTTTCCTCCCCTAGAGCCAGTTGCCCCAGGTCCAGATGAGAATTCTGTTGGTGAGTAATTTCGCACATTAAGTGAGTGAGAGGAGCTGGAGTGGGGCGGGGGAGGGGGATGGGGGAGGTGCTAGTGAATGGCTACCCAAACTGACTCTGAATCCACCAGATTAGAAACAATTCCTCGCTAGAAACCTAGCCAAGCTCATTGAGGTTGAGTAAAATGGTAGTGCCTTTCTAGACAAATTCGAAGTCCATCGCGAATTTACCTCCCTCCCACTTCCACTTCGCATTTCTTTACCATTCCTTAACAGCTCGCCGGTACTTTTTTTTTCTCCTGGGAGGGAAGAGGCACAGTGAAACCAAAATGGAGCTTTCACTTCGGGTTCAAACTCACGAACGGTTAGGCCTGAAAACAGACGCATTCTTGTTCGCAAATGGTTTGCATACTTGACCGTAAGCAACATTTCTAGCGGGTGCCGGTAAATTTTCTGCTCATGTACGGTGCTTTTTACTATGTTGTTGCATCCAGGAGGAGTAGTAGTGATAATTGTTGTCGCTTCACGTAACGGAAATCGTGTCAAACTCCGATAAAGATTAGATCTTGGGTAATCACACTAGTCTGTGTCGTATGAAAACCGAACCTTGATTAACGATAATGAGTGTGAGATCATAGAATCAGGAAATGTCACAGAAGCAATTGTCTTCTTACTAGGATTAGAGTGATGTCCGTTAATTTATGTCAGTCCTTTTTTTTCCATAGAGTACTGTAACTTTGACAGTGGTTCGCTGTGCGACTTTACTCAAGCTACTGGAGACCAGTTTGACTGGACCCTCCATAAAGGTCCTACAAGAAGCGGTGGAACTGGACCGAGCACAGATATGTCTGGAAAAGGTCAGCTATTTGATTATCCTATTTTGGAAGGCTTCCTCCTCGTGGAGATTCGGCAAGCCAGAAGGGTAGCAAAAAAGTGCTTTGAATCTATTCTGTCATTAATTCTGCAGCATTCTCAGATCCCCACTACAGGATCTATCAGATCCGTTGATTATTGGCCGATTTTATAATTATACTTAGTCATAACTTGATCGATAGTCGGCCCCTGTTGACTCTTGTTTTTCCACAGGTTATTACGTTTACATCGAGACATCCAATCCTCGCAGAGAAGGCGACAGAGCTGTCCTGCTGTCTCCCCGGCTGACGGGACCTTATTGTCTTCGTATGCATTTCCACATGCTGGGTGCTAACATTGGATCCCTGAGGGTTTACAAAAATTCAGCATCGGGTAACAGTGTTGTGTTTTCCGTTGACGGTAATAAAGGAGATCAGTGGTACTCGGCGGAATACTCCTTAACAGGTCCCGAGCAGTTTCAGGTGATGACGAGTACAAGTACGCTCTTTTCCTAAGTCATGTAAACTTTACTAGGATCCTTTCTTCGTTAAAGGATAAAACTCATCGAGCGCCTTTTGATTTATTGGTGCTTCACTAAGCACCAAAGTGCAAAGTGGTTCATTAGCGAATTGTTTTCGTTTTGCATCTGTGTGGTCGAGAGGGTGACACAAATTTCAATACCAATAACATACGGCAAGACCGATACAATCCTGGGTTCCTTCGACATTCAAATGAAAACATCTTCATTAACACCGAAACGCAATCTCGATTTGATTTGGCTCTTGCTACGTCCTGTGAGCTATTAGTTTGAAATATGACAACCCGTGAAATCTAACAACTGAAGAAGAACATCGCGAGGGAATGATAATTTATTTATAAAATTGTAAACTTTATCTGACGTCGTCGATGGTAGTAATCTTCATGCTACTCACTCCCTGGGCTCCGCGCAGCGCCCTCACCTCCCCTCTTTTCTTTCGCTAATTTTGTTTTTTTACTCGCATGATTAACTGTTCGTAGTCTATTGGTGGAATATTTTTCTACTTTTTCCAACACTGTGACGAATAAATAGAGCTGGTCTGATTTGTTCATTACTTCATTTGATACTTGTAACGTAGATCGATGAACACGACGATAGAGAAGAATAAAATCTAGCATCATCTCAAGTTTATGATAAATATATCGATCTCTAAATACGAGAGCGATCTTCGCATGAATGAACACTACTTAGGAGTCGTGAAAAACGGCCTGAAAGAATTTCAGGCCTGTACGGGATTTGAACCAATGACTTCTGCGAAGCCGGTGTTCCGCCAAATAAGCCAATATTTCGACAGGGAATTTGTCATTATGTTGCTTCTTAATAGACCCATGAAGTGATGGATAAATGACTGATTACATGAAAATCATGTATGTAAACTGCGGTTTAAGAAATGATTGAGTCATGATCGTTTATATTGATCTCTTTTGCAATGGTCCTAACACGCGTTTTTCCGATAATTTCTGTATACGTTGCAGCTTGCATTCGAGGCTGTCCGTGGCAATGGCTACCGAGGTGATATTGCTTTAGATGAAATTAAACTTGTCCCTGGAAAATGCAACGCATCACCGGGCACCCCTGCTCCACCTGTCATCAAAACGCCGGTCAAACAAAAGACCACACCTGAGCCACCTACTCGTGGAGAAGGTAAGCATGGGTATTCGGTCATAACGTCACCGAATGATTTACCTCCCCACCCAGTCACCTACCCACCCCTCCCTTCCCCACCTCCCCCTTAGAGACTAAACTACTTTTTTGGATATTTTCTAGTGCAATGCAACTTCGATACAAGGACTTTGTGTCAGTTTACCCAGACTACTGCTGACGAGTTTGACTGGGTTCTGAACAAAGGGATCACCTCAAGCGCGCCGGAGACTGGCCCGAGATCCGATATTTCATCCACAGGTTAGCAAATAGCTCTTGCTTCACGACATCTTCAGAAAAAAAGCAAACATTTGATATGAGATTTTTCTATTTTTTTTCCCTTTTTTTGGCGGATTGGTGACATTTTTGTTTGATTGGGAATTAATTTTCGGGCTGTGAACCTTTTTTTCCAACAAAGAAAGAAAGCTAATATTTTCAAGTTTTCAAAGTTACTGGAGGTATAAAGAGCATATGCTGACGCTCAGTTTGCATGAAGAGTTTTTCATTTAACTATAAGAAGTGGATTTTTTTATGGCGTTTTATTGCATGGGATTTTTCTACGGTCGAAGCTTACTTTTGCGAATTTAGAACACTCTACAGGCTTTTTATGGAACTCGGGTAGGCGAACACAGCGGTCAATGGTCGGCCATGCTCAGAGCATCAATTCTGGTTGGCCACGCGACAATTTCCTGCGCAAACTTTGACAGGAAAACCTAGGAAACAACTGCTGTCACGTAAAAGAAGCGAAAGAAAAATTGAAATGAATATAGAAATCTGTAAAAGGAAACAAAAGGTTGGAAAAGAAAAACCCGAGTCTTTTTAAACAAAAAGCTTATTTAAGTAGGAGTATCCTGTTGATTTACCAATCTGTTTTGAGCTTTATCAAAAAAGGTATTTGCTTTTAAAACACCATTAGTTACCAGCTTGTGCAGATAATAGTAACTCGCGTCACCACTGTGTTACCTAAGATTCTGTCCCAGTGCTTCATAATAACTTGAGTTATGCCTTTTGTTATTTCCTCAGGCTACTACATCTATGCCGAAGCTTCATTTCCGCGTCAAAACGGAGACCGCGCCCAGCTATTCTCGCCGAAGCTGATCGGTGACTACTGTCTTCAGTTTTATTATTATATGTACGGAGCTCAGATGGGAGCTCTTCATGTCGTTGTTCTTGTGGGCGCACAGAGGACCAAACTGGGTTCCATCACAGGTGACCGGGGACAAAAGTGGTATAAAGTCGACACCGACATTCGGAGTGCACAGGCTTACCAGGTAGAGTTTTCGGGACTTCCCTTAATGTTTTCAACTAAATCAAAGATGACAACTTGAGGCGGTCCAAAACAATCTTGTAATCTTTGGACATAAATTTTTCAATAGATCGATAAGACCAAAATTGTTTCTTGACAAAAAGTACTGGAAAAATGCCCTAAACATCATTGGATCGTTTATCTGACACAGAAAGTTACCATAGCAACACTACAGTCTCTTTAAAATACCATTGATTCTGACTGTTGATGCCTGTGACTCAACAAAGAATTAGGTGATACCCATTACTCATTATTGATTACAATCAAATCTAGAATCACATCAAAACATCAAGAGTCCTCCCTCTAAAAACTGTTATTAGGTTCAGAACGCGTTAGAGCCATCTTAAATGGTTTACAGGTGAAGGTGGCATTGCTGATAAGGATATAATACCTTTTTAATTTGGTTTGTGCCTGACATTTAAGACTAAGAAATATTTGCTTCATCTAATGCGATGAGTTTTAGGGTATCATTTCCTTTGGCCTTTAGGGACATCTGGCACGTCTTCATTCGTCTTGACTGAACATTAAAAAATTAAAGTAATTGTTCAACTGACCACACAAAAGTCCATAAGATGACACGAATGCAGAATTTATGGAGAGTAAAAATCACAATAAGACGTAATCGAAATTGTAAAGAAAGTGGCCAATCTTAATCAAAAAGTGTAGTATAGCAAGAAATGCAGATAAAACCTAATCTATTTTAACGTTTTCATTCAATTTTTTTCTTTTTATTTTGCTCTAAATTTTGCATGCTTTTCTAAGGAGGAAGGGGAAGATAGATGGGTAGTTGTGCAGCTTTTTTCTCATCTAATCAGTTATCATCTTTTTTTCTAATTTTTCAGATAGTTTTTGAAGCAGAGAGAGGCATTGGTTACACTGGAGATATTGCTCTAGACGAAATCAGATTAAAACCAGGGAAGTGCAATCAATTTCGAGTCCCAACCCAGCCCCCAACGACTATCAAAACTACTCCTTTAGTCACACAAGGTACGTGGTCTGTTACGATAAAAATGTTTTGACATGCTAAAGCTAAAAATTAATCGTAAAATAACTCCTTTTGATGCCCGATATCGCAAATTATTTTTCCATGGCTCGAAATCCCCTGATTTCTTGAGTTCGGTCTTTGATCCTCGCGTCAGTTCTGGGGGGAGTAGCTTTTTAGGCGTAGTTTTCAACTCCGAATTGATCATATAAAACCCTTCATTTTTTTTCCAGCTTTTTCAGTGTTCTGCAACTTTGACAGCAGGTCGTTGTGTGGATTCACTCAAGATAACCGAGATGAATTCGACTGGACTCTGAATAAGGGTGTAACAGGCAGTAACCCCAGCACGGGACCAACAGCTGATCTCTCAGGAAATGGTAGGCTGAAAAAAAACTTTGCCATATACAATATGGCTTCCAAATGATTATCTGTTCACTCTTTTGGCCACCTAACGACGATGAAGGTGATCGTAGTTGAATAGCCAGGTAACATGATGAAATACGAGAAAAAGGTTTTCCGTGAAAGGCTTGAAATCTCTGCAAGAGTAATTGAGACAATCGTTCACCCCATTTTCCCCACCGCCACTCACCGTATGATTGCTTCCGGCATCCAGTGAGAGATTTCCCCAGTTTCGGGGGGGAAATGCATGTTTACGATCGCTTTCAGTGACCAGCGTCTGTTTCAAAACTTGCCCGCATCAACAAAATTCCAACCGACACTCGCCGATTGGCTTTAATCCCAGCCTTCTCTCACAGGTTACTACATTTATGCTGAGGCTTCCAATCCTCGGAGGCCTGGCGATCGGGCCCGCCTTCTGTCTCCAGTTGTGACTGGCAGGACCTGCGTGGCGTTCCGATTCAACATGCATGGAAGAGATATGGGGACCCTAAATGTGTACGGCAAGGTGGGGCCCATGGAGCAAGTTCTGTGGGAACACAACACTGACAGGGGAGATACATGGGAAGGCATGCAGATCAACGTCGAAACATCAGCTCAATTCCAGGTATGCGGCCTACTTAGGCTTCGAAATAGCCATAGTGCAATTATGAGGAATCATAGGTTTTAGCTCAAAGATATCCACTTCGTAAGCAAAGGGCATTAGGGCATCCTTTTAAAATGGGTGCCAAGGAGGGAGGTATAAGAGTCGAGGTTTTATGAACCTTCTGAGAAAATGCTCAAACTGGAAATTCATACCATATTTTCTTGTCGCATTACTTCGAAAATGTACTTATTCCCCTAAATGTTACTTTCCTGATCATAAATGGTTCACTGTCTTCCCCTCTTTTTTTTTCTTTTTTTCTGACTGGTTTATCTCACGCAGGTTGTATTTGAAGCTATTCGTGGCAAGGGATACAGAAGTGATATAGCTCTGGATGAGATCTCGATCTATCCTGGCCCATGCATTACAGCAGCTGAACCTTTGGCCCCTACCACAGCCACATTACATACCACATCAAAGATCACTCCTCTTAATGGTCAGTGTTAGTGTAAATTTGAATGTTGACCTCTTACGTAAAAAAAAATACATTAATCACGTCGTTGCTGCGTAGTCCCACAGATCCAAGTATTCTATTGAAGAGTGTCCTTTAATCACTTCCGGAAGTGATAAAGAAATGATTTTAAGAACTGATTAAATAGAATCAGACCCACCGCCCCCCCTGCCCTACCCCCCTCCATTCAAAATTAAAAAGGAAATCTATTCGATTTACGAGAAAACATTCCCCACTTTCATACCTTTCTAGTCGTTTTCATATTCCTGCGTGTATATCATGATTATCTCATTAAATAAAGTAAGATTATACGAAAAAAGTCGTACAACAGCATGGTAATGCAATTTAGAAAACATCCCCTATTGCCAAGTCCTTAAAAACCCGTCTTTAGAATCTGCTTTCCTTTAGTTGCAACATTTATTTACTCCTGAGGCATGTTTAGGTCGAGTAAACGCAGTCCTGATTTAGAAATTTAAAAAATCTTAAATTCATATTCAAACATAAGGATCTTAAATTCAAATCCAATTACGAAGAGCTTGGGAAAAACTGAATTGACTTGGAGATATTTGCTTGTAAAATACTTGGATACGATTTCGTCTCTTTAGTTAATTATGGAAATAGTTGTGCATGTTAATACTCGTATATCTCAAAATAATTTACAGATTTAAGATGTTTATCTGGGTGGACTAAATTTGGCAGATCGTGCTACAAATCCTTTGATGCCAAAATGTTATGGCACGCTGCAAAAGCTCACTGTCAACGAGATGGCGCCTCTCTCGTCGCCATCAATGACGCTTATGAACTTAACTTCGTCAGGAACTTAACCAGGCGAATTTACGGAGACTATGCAGTTTGGATCGGGCTTCGCCGAGACTCTCAGGGGGAATTCTCACGTTGGGAGAACGGAGAACCACTTGCTTACACCAAATGGTTCAAGAACGAGCCTGACAATCTTTTCGGAGACGAGAATTGCGTTGAGATGTTTAAATATACTGGTAGATGGATGGATTCCACCTGCACTGGGGTGTCTGCTCGGAGTCATCCTTTCATTTGCGAGAGCGGTAAGATTTGAGTGACTACAATTAATTTATGAAGGTGTTATCTCAAATTTAGTAAACAATAGGGAGGTCCATTTGAAAAGAGAATCCTGCTAAGAATCAAATATGCCCGGCTAGATTGGCCGGAATTCAATTTTGTGCAGCATTTTGATGAAATTGCCAAACAAGGCAAAGTTTTTGAAGCCTGTTTCTCGCGAGCTTCTTTCTCAGTGGAAGAATCTTCGCCTCTCAGAACAGGAACTGCCTCGGAGATATATACAAGCATACGTGGTAACTGTAGGCAGTTGTTTATATACCAACACGATGAATCCTGTTATTTCACCGATTCCCGAGCAGTGAAAAGCCTTTCAGCCCTCAGATTGGCTCACAACATCTTACTCCACACTTGTAGAGTTGGAGAAAAGTAAACCCCAATGTCCACCCGGTTGGGATGAGCTGAGCACCGCCTGCTATAAAGTTTACGGTGGAATTCGAGGGATGTCCCCGTGGGCTGACGCAAGTAAAGTGTGCCAAGCATCACGTGCCAGCCTCGTGAGTATCACGTCGCCAGACGAGCGTAAGGAAGTACTTTCTTTAATGCAGCGTTATTCTGAGGGCATGTACGGCTACTGGATTGGACTAAAACGTTCTTTTTCAAGCACGTTCTCGTAAGTAGTTTGAAGTTTGAAGTGTTCTTCAAAAGTCATTAGCAGCCCCATGTGGAAATGAATTTAGCGTTGTTGGTTTCTAAAGCTAATCAGTATAAGTTGTAAATGCTTACCCTAAATTTTCAATATTGCAAATTCAGAAAACCAAAGTAATCCCAGCAACCACTAGAACTAAGGTTTACCCGATGAAAACTCAAAGTGACAACAAGGAAACTTCCTGAGGCGCAGGAAAACGTGAATGACCATGTCGAAATTGGTTTTAGTTTGATTGGTTGAGAGGGTAGCGTGAGTTTTCTGGACCAATCACAGAGCAAAGTTAAGTTCAACAAAAGCAATGCTTGAAGACTTTCGACGCTCAATTGAACATTGCTGCGCTTAAGATTAAGTCAGGTTCTTTTGATGAGTTCTTTAGCAAGACACTTTACCGTAACAGTGCCTCTCCCCAACCTTAAGCAATAATAAGTACCGGCAAAATATCAAAGAAACCTGTGATAGTTTCACCCCCTTCTAGGGGAGTATTAATACTCCTTTTCATTTCATGCTACAGGAGCTGGTATCAGCTCCGGCTGGATGGGCTCTTGGCTCGGGTGTAAACTTATTTTAAAGCAATGTTAATTACAATATTACCTTACCTTTTTAAAGATGGGAGGATAAAAGTCCCCTGACTTACACCAAATGGGCAAGAGGCGAGCCTAATAACTGGATCAGGAATGAAGACTGTGTTTACATGAGTACACAAGATGGAACCTGGTTCGATTCTCGCTGCTCACGTTATCTACCATTCATTTGCAAATTATGTAGGTGTGATTTTATTCTGTTATAATAAAGTGCTTTTATTTTCTTATTGGACTTCATCTGCCAAACTTGCACCCAGTTACTCTATGGTGTATTTTTAAGCCTTAATTTTTCGCACCACTTACTAGAGGCTCGGCTCCCACGACTGGCTACGAGTATAAATGTCTCATTTATTAGGACAGGATTTGCTGCGCAAGAAAAAATTAGATATCTTAGAATTGCAGTTTTCAACCAATCCAGCAAAACTGCGTCCCAACCTGTAACTTGTAACGGTTTACTGATTCAAAGTCCGCCAAACGGTTTCTTTTAGGTTATATTTGAGTGAAAAATTAGCCCCCTTTTTTCTGTATGTCACACCAATTATGTTCAACTGAGTAACAGTTACCATTGAAAAAAAGCAGTTTACAAACACACGGATTACCTACGATCGCGTTGTGCAGGTTTCATGTCACAATAATCAGATCTGGGCTACCAGAAACAGCCAATGAAAGCGCACCTCAAATCGAAAGTTGACAGCACAGCAAACGAGTAGCGAGTAAACACAGTAAACTTCCCCCGTCGTTTCAGTTACAATTGTTCTTCACACTATTGCTTTTTCCCAAAATACAGCTTTAGCACGTGATCGTCCAACAGATCCCACTACCCCTCTTCCGGTCACATGTGGGGTGAAAATGAACGAGACTTCTATATCCTCTGGATTAGCTCTTGGCGTAATCGTAGGGGGAAAGGTTGCAATCCCAGGAGCGTGGCCTTGGCAAGTTGCTCTTCTGTGTAAGACTTGCACTGACCCTAGTTGTGGAGGTACCTTGATTTCTGCATATCACGTGATTACGGCCGCACACTGCATTCCCTCCGACACTGATACATTCGTCAAAGACTACAAGGTGGGTATGGAAGAAATACTCTATGCATCTGTTGCAATCGGCGAGCGTGAGACAAAATAAAACTTATTCCACTTGAGTTTGTAAACCCAGACATGTCCAGTTTCTACTGAATGAGTTACATACACCATTAACTCGTTGGTTACCTGCTCTATTCTGCTTGGATCGGCAATGTATATACCACACAAGTGAATAGTGCTTTTTGCACGCGCTGATTGGCTAGTCTGGAAGTGAATAGCACCACCTCTGAGCAGCCGATGAGACAAAATCGTGCGTCAAGAGTTTAATTTCCAACCATTTTTTCGGTATACTGAAAGAAATCAACTTATTTTTTGGTATCTGTGTGATATATAGTACAACAGTTATTCTCTTCAATGTGAAAGTGTTAGAGCACCACTATACACTTCCACTTCGGTGAACAATCGTTAATTATAATCATCATTATCATCATTAGTACCGTTATGATCACTGCTTTGAATACAGATTCGCCTCGGTGAACACGATATCCGAACGAACGAAACCGACGAACAAGACATTGACATAGCCGCCGTTTACAGACACGCTTCCTACGGTGTAACAGCTCCCCACGATAGCGACATTGCAGTCATTAAGTTGGCCTCTCCCGCCACATTCAGTAGCAGCGTAGGACCAGCATGTCTACAAAGCAACAACATAGATTTTCCTCCAGGTAAAAACTTATCTTACTAAGCAGATTAAGACCATCGTTTAGCTCGACTAGATTAACTCCAGCACAGAAACAAAGTTCTACTGGAACTAATCCGAATGAGCTTTTCCCAGAAACAAAAAAAGTGATCGACTCCTAACATCTAAAGAATGAAAGTCGGCCGGGTAAAGGACTAATCATTTTTAGCAAAGCTGGAAATTTCATCGGAATTTGAAAAGAAAAGGGTGTCGGCATTCTTTTTAGCGAAACCTTTGTGGACTAAATTGCATACTCTACCCATTTCACGTATTTCCGGTCCCTCAAAATTTTTGGTAAAAGATATAAGATTCACTACAAGATGAAAGATTCTGGAGCGCACTCTTATGAAAATAGAGAAGAAAGATCAGAACTAAAGATCCTCGCTTGAGTAAATGCTTCAACGCCTTCCTCTTCAAGAGGTGTATGCGCCAGAGACCAAATAATCCTCTTCTGTGTCACTCAAAAGTGGTTAGGAAATTGTGACAGTGACCTTGTTTTGAGACTCCAAGGAGCAACCCAACCATCCAAAAATCGTCTTCAAATGTGCTTGAACTTCGACTATGGATGCTGTCGAGATTTACGTCATTGAGGCATGTGAGGCAATGAGGCCAGGTTGCTAAGGCGTTTTTCAAAATGGCAGCGCCCAATGAATTCTGAGATCTTTTGAAGACAGTCATCAAACGGTTTGGTTACTCTCTGGTGTTTCAAAACCCGTTAGGCAGTAAATGTTTTATGCATACCTATAAAAGACGGTATAAAAGTTTTATAATTGTCGTATGTTTACTGAGC